TCAGCACCTACAGAGTACAAAAAAGTGCATATGCTTAAACATTATATATACTTCTTTAAAACCCCATTCGGTCTCAGAGTGATGAGATTTAACATAGGATTGCTTTGCACTATGCAGAGGGAATCCATATAATACCATGAAGCTGAAAGATATGCTTAGCTGCTGTCCAGCCCAGAAGATGTTTGAGAACCACTTGCTCATCCTTCAGATAGGTTCCTTTGTCATCTCTTGGCCAGGACTTCAGAATGACGGTGGATACAAGCGGTTTCAATTTCCAGTTTATGCGGAGTTTGTCGAATCCCTCAAAAAGTTGCCACTCAGATTTAGCCTGTTAAAAAAATCTGTACAGTAAGTGTCTGCTTTCATGCTATCCATCTTATTAAAAGGCATAGAACTTTGGCAAAATAATGTGAAATCCATACAGACCAATGATTAATGTATTTCTCAAACACTGCAAACTCTACACCATATCCATTTCCATCTCAATGGATTAATAATTTTGTAAATGGATAGAATGTGGAATATATTCATTAATCTTGATTAATTATAATAACTAGAATGATATCATAAGAAATTATTCTAGTATCTACTATTATATATTTGACTGTGTGTGAGAGGACGGTAGTGTGCTTAGAACCTAGTGAACTATTTAAAACTGGTTGGAACACACTCTTATAAGGACCCTAAATACAGGGGCTAGAAATAAGGGCATGACATGTTCAGAGAATGTAATTGATTATCCTTCAGGAGCTCATATATGCTAAAGACTCCATGTCTAAAAATACAGAGGCAGAAAGAAAGACATGGATGGAATCCATTGAACAGTTTCAAGGCGTATATATGTCAGGTTTGTAGTAAAGATGAAGCGAGGACTCAAATGCAGAATTTGCAATGGGCTTTATTAAATAATAAGATAAAAAACTTAAATAAAAAAACAAAACCCCAAGGGGGAAAACTAAACTGCAGGGCAAAACAAGAGAACATTAGACGATGGACTAGCACAGGACAGAAAACACTAGGAGAATAAATTGGGAACCAAATAAGGAGGGTAATGAAGGGGTAACAGGTGGAACAACGAAAGCAATAATCGGGTAACAAGATGGGCGGGGATACACAATAGACATGGGAGCACATGGCACATAGAAACAAAACAAAGCCATGTGCTCACACAGAACATAACAACAGCAATGAAAACTCGCGAGACGCATACTACACCAAACACGACAAAGCAATTCAAGGAAGACACGAGACAAGAGCGCACGGTAGAGGTAAAATTCTATTTCACGGTATGACTAATTTTATTTCATGGTAACGATACATTTCACGATACAGTTACTTATATATGTAGTTATTTTTAAAATCAGCAAAAAGGCTTTATATAATAAATAAACTCAAATACTTTAGAAATGAAACCTTGTTTGATTTTTTTTTTATTTGGTCAATTGTTTTTACCGTAAAAACACACTCAACTTTTAGATTAACTGCCCCCAACTGACTGATATTAAATGCAACATGAAGGTGCAATTTAACTTTAAATAAGGTGTTTCTGAATTATTTTTAAATCTCATGTTATTGTTTTACTTCAATCAGTTTATAAGATCTAAATATTTTACATTGAAATATTCTATTCATAATAAGTTACATGTACTTCCTTTTAATTTTGTAGGATACTATTAACACTAGCTGTTATATATTGTTTAACTTTGTTCCCTAGTATCTGCTTATTATACTGCATTTTTCAGGGGTTTGTTTTGCTCTTTTTGTGATATCTGGCAACCCCTCACCTGGAGTTTTAATCAAGAGAGGGAAGAGTACAAATGTGACCAGAAAAAGAGCAGCAGCATGCAAACTGAACATAAGCTAACAGCTACTGTTAGTACTGACTTAGTAGTTTAAATTACAAGGACACAAATAATCAGCGAGGAACTCATACCTCAACAATAAACCATGAGAAAACATGCTCAAGTATGTAAACTTGAAGCAAAAAACAATAATATTGTTATTTTAACTTTTGATCATTCATAATTATTAATTATTATTAGTCTTTTTTTTGACAGTTCTGCAGCTGTTACCTGGATGGGATAAATTTTTATAATTTTTTTATTTTATTTTTTTATTATTCATTTGCTTAAATTACGACTACATTATGATGTAATTATTTGTCCCATTTTTATCTAAATAATTTAGCATTTTTAAAACTTTTTTAAATGGCAAATTGTATATGACATTATGATTATTTATTATGTATATATTTATGATTAATATAAATGATAAATTAATAAATAGGGTCTAACATTAATTATAATCTATTAATTAATCTGTCTAATCATGTCTAAAAATATAATAATTATGTTTCTCTCTGTGCCCCAATAAACCTATTTGATTGATACTAACCTGTTGCGTCAGACCTCTTCCGTTACACTGATAATGTATGGAATATTATATTAACAGACAATCCGTGTATCATTCGTTTTTTACTTAATATTGAAAGTAGAAAAATGGAAAGAAAGAAAAAACGGCTCCTTTTTCGTTTTTTCCCAAAAAACGAGAATTCAGCTTAAATTTTAGTTTTTCGTTCAGGGGTAGAAAAATTAATAAACAGCTTGAATATTCGATTTCTACACATGGGCGGGAATTAAACGCCCTTTTCTGCTGATTGGTCAGCTGAAGATCAAACCGTGCCGTCATCAGTTCTTCCGCAGT